TTGAACAAACAATGAAAATATCGACGAAAATGCTCCTTAAAATCAGAACAATGTGTGAATAAATACAAGAGTTTTATGGCATCTGTTTCTCGAAGAGACAGACGAAAAAATGTTTATCTAAGGATGGTAGGAATATATTTAAAAGTTAGAAGAGCATGCCTCAACATCTCACTGGATTTATGACATTTTTTGCTCAGAAATAAGTGTAGAGGTTTCTTATAATTTTCCATTTTTATCTCTACATATTTTTAATTCTGGAATGTGCATTAAATTGAATTACGTATAATTAACTTAGATAATCAAATGTTTCATAAAATCTTTTAATAGAATAATACACCAAGGGTTATAATCACGTGTAGTTATAAAATAAAGAAATAGGATTATAATAATCCATGTATAACACAGATTTTAAACAGAAACATAGCATTAACTTAGACCATTAATTAACATTTACTCATTTTAACCAACTTACTCAACAACAACGTTCATTTACTTATTTCTCAGAAACATATATTGATATGTTTTCATTTTTCACACATTTACAAATTGATTTGTATTTGTTTAACATTAGTTTTCAGTTATTGAATGAAACTTGTCAATAGAAAATAATGTTGTTAAATTCATAATAAAGTAAACAATAATATTCGCGATATTGTGACGCATAGTTACAACTATAGAAGGTTGTTTTTATTAAGTGTAAAATTTTAAGGTTAATATCAAGTACCTATATGTATTTTCGCATATAAATATGGCTACAATAATATATATTTCATTCGTTATCGTTCATAACACCTGCTTTTACTTTAACATAAACGCTGATATAACACATCTATTTATTTAAATTTATTTATTTAATTAAAACCGTGTGTACAGAGACATTAAAATGAGAGATAGGAAAGCTACTAGATATTATTTTATTATTTAGAAGAACTGGATTTTTTTGAGCAAATGTTGAATCAGTTTTCTTCTAAGATACGTGATAAGTCTTGCATAACTCTGGTAATATTAATAATATAATAAGTATTTCTATTAAAGGGTACAGCAAATCAATTCAACACATGCCATACAGCACGAGAAACAATTGAATTATTGCATGAGTCATTTCCTGGTAGAGTAATTTCTCGTTTTGGTGATGAGAATGATTTAATGTCGTTGGACTTTTTTCTTCGTGGTTTTTTGAAATCTAAGGTTTATGCCAACATACCCACGACCACCAAAACTTTGAAGGACCTACATAATACATTTCAAATAGAAAAATAGTAATTTAGAATTTGCAAATTTTGAATCAATTATGGATATCTTAATTTTTTCAAATGGAACTCTATATTATATTTAGATATACCTACTTCTAGTTTATTTCTTATAGTTTGCAAAAAAGTTTTTTTATTTGTACAAACAAATTAAAAAATTGTTTTCAAAAACATTTATCATCAACTTAAATTAAAAAATTAGATAGTACTCGCTATTTTAAGAGTTCATAAAACTGTTCAAGTAACTAATCGTGACATGAAAGCAATGAATTTCTCGAAATCTGCATCGAATTCTAATAAATATATATTTTGAGTTTATTTGTAGATTTTCCATATTGGATTGTATTTGTTGACATTGGCGTATCTCTTGTTTATTTAATAAATAAGCCTTCAAAGAACCTATCAAAAAAATAGCATCCGGATCATGGTTAATTGTAAAAATATGAGTCCCTGTAGGTGTTTTATTAATGTTTGTTTTGCAAAGGGTTTTATAGACAGCAATTTAGTAATTATCAATTTTAGTAATGGATGTATCTAAACATGTTTTCCAATGCTTGTATACTATTGCAAATATAAAATTAGAAATATGAAAGTATTTCGTTGTATTTAATCTGTAGTTTTTCTAATTCTTTTCAAAAGCTCATTAAACTGTTTGAACCTCTCGTTTGCCTGACGGACTGTCAATAATTAAGAAAATAATTAACACTCGACACTTCCCGATCGATAAAGTAAATGGTGGATTTACAAATGCAATCAAAATTATCACGATTCTATTAATAAACCTGATATCTAGATAAGTAAATATGTATTTCCCAGTATAACTTAGTAGGGCTGTAAACAGTTCTAAAAATATACAAGAGAGTGATCAAGTAAGTGGGAAAAATATCTCATTTACAACAGAAATTGACAGATGAAGGATGCTAATCCAGATATTTTGATACTATTCTGAGATAAAGTGGTGCTGTTATTGTTTACTAAAGTTACTATGGATTGGATTTTAAAAATGACTTAAAACTGATCACACTCCTACATCTAGCAAATTCAGATCTAAATCTGAGGTGGATTACTTAGTTAATTAAACTGAGGCTGCTGTCTTTCAAATAGTTGGTACATTAATGAGGATAGTATTCGCTTCCCTTTTTTTAAATTTTAAATAAGACAAATTAACTATTAAAAATCACGTTGAAATCTCTAACAAACCGACACTCAATACTTTTTTTATTTGGCGACAACCCTTTGGCGACAAATACAAGTAATGTATCATCATTGTTTTTTTAATGCTATTACTATAAGTTATAAAAACTATTCTCTTGCGCATCCCCTTTCAGACGCTTATGACTGTTCCAATATTTCATTAATAAGATTCTAGAGGTTATTCTCCGGTTACTAATATGAAAAAAGTTTTACGTATCTTCGTCATCAAAATGACTTGTAATGGATTATTATTTTCTTTATACGACTTGTTGACTAGCATTAAGTAAGACTGAGACGATATTGTTTTTAAATCTGGCGATTCAACCGGTTACGGATTGGATTTCTTATTTTTAATCAGAGGATTACCTGCACAGTTTTATCGGTGAGAGATTGCAACACCTGGATTAGTCTTTTAAATGTGTACATTTTGGGAGTTAATTTTATACTTTGACAAACTTTCAAAACTGGATTTGTTTTCCAGATACAACGCACTGAAGTTGAAAAAAATATATCACATTTATTTAAATATCTCTTCAGATGCCCAACGTAGAATGATACAATTTTGGCTAATGACTTGGCGGAGTTATTAGGAAACGCCATCATTAAATTTCCTAGAATTTCTATGCAACTGAATGTTTTGGAAATTTGATAAGTACATTTAACTAATTACGTTCAATATTTCCAACAAAAAAGATATTCGAATATTCGAAAAACGAGCCATTTTTGAATTATTAATATTTTTAAATTAAAATAAGCCTGCAATATTTGAATAAATCGACATTTCGAAAAACGATCTGGCTGACGTTACTTTTTAAAATTTCAAACTGTCAAATATGTTTAAAAAACGCAATCGCCTCTTTAATTTTATTAACACTCTGTATATCAACCTGTGGAAGAGGTACCTGAAGACATTTTTTGGATTTAATTCTCAACGTTATTTGATTAAAAATATATATTTAATTTTATTCGAAAAGCGAATTTCGAATCATTATTTTATAATTTTAAAATGAGTTGATACCACAGTTGAATAATTTGAAAATAAATCCAAACCTGTTCGTTCCATAAAAAAATAAAATAAAATTACTTATATACATCTTAATTTCGACGTCAATTGGTTTTTTGAAATTTTGATAAATCATTGTTATCACTTTTAAGTTATATGTATGTCTAACTAAAACTGCCTAAAGGCTTATTTTAAATTTTTTAGTAAATATTTGTAAAATATAATAAATACATTAAATTTATTCAATTAGTTTATTAGTAGTATTAGTATATCAAAGAAAATGGAAAACACTTTTTTCTTCGAAATGCCATTAGAAATTAAAAGCACTTTTTCCAATTTCCAAAATACTCACAATCAGTGACTTCGAAATTTTACATTTCTTATATACAGGGTGTTTCTTAAGTAAAAGAGGTCAAAAATCCAGGGGCGTATTCTGTAGCTAAAAATAAGGGTTTTTTGTTATATAAATGTGAGATCAAGTTAAAAAAAAATCAGTTTTTAATTTTTAATTTTTAAACCGCTTGCGATAATTTAACTATTGAGTATGATAGTAGGTATGAAAAAAAAAAAATACTAGCTTTAGAAACTCACCAGTGGCGGAGTCTGGATATCATCGGTCAAATTACAAATAAAAATAGGTCATCATATGCGCCATATCTTCTCTTTTTGTTTCTTTACACTTTACAATGACCTATTTTATTTGTAATATTATACAGGGTGATATATATTTTTTTGGCAAATAATAATCTATGATGCCCACACCTCCGCCACTGGTAAGTTTTTAAAGCTGGTAAATTTTTGTTTAATACCTCATACTAAATGGAAATAATTTCTAAACTATTTGCTTCAGAAAAAAAAATATGAGGATTATTTTATTAGAAATACAAGTAAAACAAATTGTAGCAATTTAAATTATTTTAGGACGTTACTATCGTTCAGAAATTTAAAAATTCCTACGCCTCTGAAATGACTGGACTTTCCATAATTACATTGTATTAAAATACAAAATATTCCTGTATTTCTTTGTGAATATAGTTATTTATTTTAAAATAAAAATTTAAAATAACTTGTGAAATGGCTAATATTTTCGAATAAAACGAAAGATATTAATTTTTCTTAGAAAATACCAACCGTTTTAAATGTACTTGTTTAATTTTTAAAATATTTAACAGCTAGGGTTTCTAACGACGCCACTGGTTGACAGTCTTATGTACCAGCTCAGCAAATTTTTGCCGTCTTATTCGGCTTAAGTTTCATCAATGTAAGTCAAATATCTTGGCGGAGTATGGCATTAACACCCTGTGTAGATTTGAATTAATTTACCCGGCATTAGCTTACGTTTTTCGTCTTACAATTAATAAAGTGAAAATGTTTACACGGTGCTACATAACAGAAGAATCCATATCAGATTTTATCAGCGTTATTGAAACCGGGAAAACGTGGCTTTTTCCACGATTTCGATTCCCTCCAACCGGTACGATATTAATAGCGAATAAACACCGACCCGTATCAATATTATCTCAAAATCTTCCAATCCTTGTGTTTATTTTCAGACTGAAACCTTCCCGATGACCAAATCTGGGCTCCACGACAGGACGTCATCCTATTTAAATCAAATAAGTAACCTGATGGTCGAGGAGTCCTATAGTTTGAAGTCGTATCCCGCGTCGGTGACGGAACTTTCGGCGATGCTGGTCCATGCGCACAAGGAGTCGCTACCTGAGTGCGAATCCTCCCCTTCCAAGGCAGGTGAGTCGACGCGCGCGGTCTTCAAAAAGTCCCACACGTGCGGAAGTCTATACGCAAAGTGCGGGTGCAACAATGAAGCCAACGGCTTTCGCCATTCCTACGACTCCCAATTCTCGTCCGAGAAGCGCTCGTCGAACCCCAGCCTATCTAACATCTACCCCAGAGCGGACACGAAGAGGCTCTCCAGTCCAGAGATACACGAGTTCCAGCACTCACCGCGACATCCCCAGGTTTGCTTAACGCCAAAGTTCGCCAAAACCCCGACGCGGAACATAGTCAAAGCCAATGTCTACCTGAACCATCCGGAGATCAACTTCCCCATACCCGTGGAGGTGCCCAAAGAGGATTGTGATAAACTAGTGCCAAAACAGAGCAAGTCCCTTTCCAATTTATACCCGGAAATAAAAAATAAACTGGACTACCACAAGTATACCGCGTTGGTGTATGAATCTCAACACCAGAACCACCACAACTACAACGAAGAAGAAGCGAGAAAGTTCCTGAGAGACTTCGGTATATTCGGACCAATGGGTAACGGTGTAGCGACTAATCTGAGGAAGACTTCCAAGAGCTCTGTGGATGAAGAGACTATCCAGCAGATCAGGAGGAACTCCAAAAGTCTTACTGAAGCTAAGAGGAGAGGTTCGGTATCTCACGAAGACTACGAGTACCTCAAGTCCCTCGTTAGCAGACTGAAGAAGGAGTTGGCAGATTTGGAATTGAAGTATGAGACTTCGCAGTCCGAACTGTACGATGCCAAGAAGAACTTGAATTGCAAAGAATCTGAGGTGTTGAGGTTACAGAGGGAAGTCCACAAACTGAAGGTAAGATATTTTATTCTACCTTTCCTAATGTAAAAACAATACTTCCATTCTATGCCACTCTGTTCTTATTGACAGCCCTGAAATATTTCTATAGATGCCAAATATGGAGAATGTGGTGATCACTGGGTGATACAATTTTACGTGGTTTCGATTTGAATATAAGTATATTTATTTGACCAACATTTAGATAGAAGAAATAATGAAGAGTTAATTTTGATTTTAGTCAGAGTGCACAAAGAGATCAATGTGAATTGAAAAGGTCTCTAGAAGAAATAATGAAGAGTTAATTTTGTTTTTAGTCAGAGTGGCATGAGTTTTTAAAAAATAACCATAGAAATCAGTTTATAACGATGATACTACGAACTTGTTCCACTTTAAACGGAATCAATGTGAATTGAAAAGGTCTGCTTTTTCTGTTCCACACATCGTTATCTTTTGTGTTTATGCAAAACGAAACATGTAAATGAGTAGCAACTGGTTATTTCTTCTTTCAGCTGGCACTGCAAAGCGGTGTAAATTAAACTACGAATACGAATACATCAAGTAGATACAATTGATTTTTGTGTATTGTAACATCCACGTTGAGATGATAGGGATGACATCAAATACAATACGTAAAGATATCGATTTACCTGTTTCTAAATCAAAGCCTCGCTTGATTATGAAAGTGCCTACCTAATATACATGTGTTTAAAGTGGAACAAATACGCGCGCTTATGTCGTAATACGTTTTTTAGGAAACTGGATGGGTGTTTTGTTCCTTCTCAGTCTGAAAAGACCACCACAATTCACCAGCTGTGTGCATATTTATATTTAAAAAAATATAGATCTCCGTGAATATTTTACATTTAAAAAATCGCTTTCCCGACCGTATTATCTGCTCAACAGAGTTCATCTTGCAATTATGCAGATTGTACTATTGCTTTAATTTGCAAAGAATATGTATCCAGAATCATACATATATTTTACCGTCGATAATATGTAAAATAAAGAAAAACCATATATTAAAGTGGCTCTAAAACTGTCTATATATAATATAATGGGTGAGAAATTAATATTTTGATTATTTTTCTGAATAAAGAATGTAGATGTAAATCTATTCTTGTCGACCTAACATAAGTCAATGGAACTGAAATAAGTTTCGATCAGACAAAAATATTAGGAAATAGAATAATCTAAAATAACTACCAATTTACTACTGCAAAAATGTCAAGGGGTCCCGTGAAAAGGGTAGGTCATTAGGGCGGATTTATATATGATATAGAAATAGAAGCGGAATTTGCAAATTTGCTAGTTTCGTGTGCCGGACAAATTTGCCCTACTGGTCCACTTTGATTATCGCTCAATGTATTGTGCGTTTCAAGCTTACCGGCATCCGTAATGTGTTTTAGACATGTAACATAAAAAAACTTTAAACTCACACCGAATTTGAAGTCATTTGAAATGGGAAATATAGATATGCACTACAATTTTAAAATGATGTTAACGGAACAATTTTTTGTTATTCTTAATGTCAAGAGTACAATTTTCTTTGTTAATTTCCTTCATCTTTTCCAGTAAGTTAATTTGCTCTGTAATTTCATGCCTCATAAGAGTAAAATAAATCTAACCAAATACTAATCCTTTTAAAATTGAATAAATATTCCACACATGCGACATTTTTCATAGCAATTTATCAAAAAGAAACAGCTGTATACTGTATAATATTATACACGTTTACTGCATCATTACGAACTAGGAACTCTGTGAAATATTTAACCCTAAAACGCGATTATCAGATATGAGGTCATAATAAAAACGCAGAAGTGTGGCAAAGTACCTACTTAAGTTTTGGTCACGCAATGCTTAGTACCAGCTAAAATTTTTGCGTTCGATCCTAGACCTTTAAATTTAGCAGAATCGGCGGGTGTATCGTGATCGTATTAATTTAGCACATCGCGATTTAGAAACAACAGGAAGTTAATGTTATAATTAAACAACCTGCCCTTTGCTGTGGTCTCATATACAGGCTGTCCCACCGGGAACTGCGTCGATCGATATCAGCACCTCCGGTTATACCCGAAGTCGACACCAACTTCGTTATTTTAAATGAGACACCCTATGTATTATTGAATTTTCGGATTCTACGTGAAATTTGAAGGACACCCTGTATAGGTACCCCTTTATCTAACATGCTTTTCACCAAGGTGCCTAGGGTTTAAATAGAAGGAAAAACATACTTAAGAAAGAGAATATACATTTATTAATTCCCCTCTGTTTTGTACGGAATTAAACATGATGAACTAATTTTATTTTAATTGATCTTGAAAAGCCATGTTCAAGGTTGTTTCAAGGTCATCTCTTGCTTGTTGAATGTAATACCTGTGAAAATCGTAAGATGAATCATTCCACATACGATTTAAGTGATTGTAATCGAATAGCCTTAAAGATCAAATCCAAGGTGACCAATGGTCCCCAATGATCCAAACTACTTTTATAGAGGTCATTTTTTGACATTCATATGACCTTGAAAATGAAAAACTAACTCAACTACGTCTCCAAACTCTTTTTAATCAATACAATATTCGCTTATTTAAAAACTACCTAGGTACTTGTTTTCTTTTTGTGGAATTAGGAGAGAAGTGAAGCAAAATTTATTGGGCCAATTGTCAAAGAAAACCAGAAGACTCAATTTATGTTTGATTTAATCTTCATACTGATTGCATCTATCCTACCATTTGATATAGTAAATAATAAAACATTCCTACTGGAATAAATACAACCCCGTGTGGAAATTACCACGTCGGACCAGCCTGGAAGTAGATTATTTAATTATGCAAATATTACATTACTAGAACGGTCGTTCTCTTCAGATTAAGACATAAGTTTCGCCGAAACAAAGGTAGAAACATACCTGATGATGCGATCTATAATGGATCCCATCCAGATTGTGGAACCGATGGCAACGATGCGTAAAACAATTTACATGTTTCAAATTGATACAATGACATAAATCTTATAATCGTTGTACACTTTATTTTATATTGATGGCCGGCACGTCTCTGGCGCGCGGCCTGTTATGACAGTTCTACTTATAAATAAAAATAACTTCCTATACTACTACAACAACAATAACATTAACTACTGCTGTAGTAATGCGGGTCTATTAAATATTAACAATAAAAAAACACACTTAATTAAAGAGAGTGATTTTAAAATATTAAGTCCTGGAAAACATCGTCGCTTATGCGGAATAAATTATTTAATATTAATAGGAAAGAAAATGAATATAATGGCGGAAGGCAAATCAAGATTTAATCGTCAAACATAATTCATTAAATGTACTCCATTAAAAAACAACAAAACATGGAATGGAAAACTATGGGTTGTTCAAATTCAAGACCCACTACTTGTATATTTTTGTGAAAAGATAAACTTTGATTTTATTTATTTTGGTAAAACTGTATTTTAAAGAAAATAACTACAATCCGTCACACAAAGTTGCTGTTATTTACCGACATAAATAGTTTGTTTAAATAAAACCTATTGGCTTTGTGGAAATAACTAATGAAAACAGTGCTCTTTTACACGACACGTATAGGTAACTATCTATTTTGTGCCAAGTTCAGTTTCCTTCATAAACAATATCTATACAGCTTAAACATCCTTGGGTTACGTTATCAGTTCGTATTTATAATCAGGTTATGCCACAAGTCACCTCTTTAAAGGAACAGGGAAAGCAATACTGCTTCCGCAAATGTCTCATAATCAGTCCGTTATATATTCGCGATGTATCAATAGAAGTTATCGATTGTCATATAAAAATAATATATTTTGCTGTATAATAATTACAATTTATTTGAAATCTATTTTTTACACGGGCCCACGCCGAATAAAATATAATCTAAATAAAAATCACAGAAAATAAAATAAAAACACGGCACGCTTGAACTGTCAAATATTGGCTACGTGACCCGCTATGTGTAGCTACTCCTCGCTTGACGTGACTGTTATTTTCGTACTATCAGTTTTTTTTTCGATATTCTCTCTAAAAATAATGGTGTTTACCGAAAAAAAATTAAAACAACGGTTTTGTATACATCTAATCAGCAATTGTTACACACAAAATTAAAATGCGAGCTTTAATAGCACATTTAATAATATACAAGACAATAACAATATACAGGGTGTGTTGGGAGTATCTAAACTCATTATCTCTATTCTTCCTGTCTCTCTCTTTCTCTATTTACACTTAAATTTATTTTTTATAGAGTGTTCTTCAGCAGACCACAACCTTCGGTCAGGATGGCGACATCCTCACGAGCATCCAAGCTCAACACGCCATGGCGAACAGAGCGCCACCTAGCCAACCTTCGCTTAACAGCAGCAGCGTGCCGAAGAAACAGGGAGTGTCAGCGGAATCTAGCGAAGCTACTGGGGAAGCTAGTCACATCACTATTACGAAGCATGATAAAGACTTTAGGTAATGCACCAGTCCCAGATGAAATTACTTCCTTCATAAGAGAAAGCTTAAATCACAAAAATTACTTTACTACATCGTCTGCTTCTTTAAATTGAGCGTCCAATTTGCTTCAGATCCAAACAGCTCATCAAAGATGCCATCATGGATAACGACTTCCTGAAGAACTTGGACACGTCGCAAGTGAGGGAAATAGTCGACTCCATGTACTCCAAGGAATTCCCTGCTGGTTCCCTGGTGGTGCGTGAAGGAGAAGCTGGCATTCATCTGTTTGTATCCGCTGAAGGCGACTTCGAAGTGATCAAAGATGGGAAAGTTCTGGGTCATATGGGGCCTGGAAAGGCCTTTGGCGAACTTGCCATTTTGTACAACTGTACAAGAACTGCGTCGATAAGAGGTACGTGCTGTTCTTAAGTTATATTGCAATAATAACATTTTTTAGAAACGAATTTTTACAGGCAAAGAGTTAAAGGAATATGTTTTATTTTCTCTCAATTCAAAATTAACTCCATCAAGCTCACTCAGGAGTTTCCTGGGTTTACAATGTCGAGTTAACAGTCTTAATGTTATTCTTAATGGTCTGTGACTTTGGCTAAATAGTTCTGTCTTCAATTTCTATGTCCAGAGGTTCCTTGCCCTCATTTTTGGGCCTTATCTTTCATTTAGTCCTACATGAATCCATGAGCAATTGAATCCTAACCGATTCCCAGGTCTGAGTCGTAAGTCCATCATCGAGCTGTTCTTGTACAGACTTGACTGGATGTTATCCTTTTCCCTATGACGTTCTTATTTTTTGATATTATATCAAAATTTGAAACCTGTGCTTTGGGAGCTAAATGGTCAATCAACATTCATACAATTGTGTTCCCAACTCATTGGTACAGCTTCTGGTATATTTATTAATGACCTTCCTCTATTTTTTCCAGCTGTAACGGGATCCAAAGTATGGATGCTGGACAGAAAAGTCTTCCAACAGATAATGATGCGCACAGGGCTTCAAAGACTGCAAGACAATATAAACTTCCTCAAGTCGGTGCCGCTTCTGCAGAGCCTCAGCAACGACGTGCTGGCCAAAATCGCTGACGTGTTGGAGGTGGTACGTATGAAGTGTTAAGAGAATATTTGGTATAAAGCAGGACTGTGCTTTGCAGGAATTTTACCCAGCAGGAGCGTACATCATACGACAAGGAGCTAGCGGGGATTCGTTCTTCATCATCAGCAGTGGATCTGTGAAAGTAACACAAAGACTTCCAGGTATGTATTTCTAAAAACTTTTTCTGTTTGGTGTGCAGGATGCTTGTGATAAATGGTATATTGTCTGTATTTTTTTCGATCGGTTTTAAATATGTCATTCAGAGGATACTGTTTAGATATACTCGTATCTCTATTACTATTAGAGAAAGACCTATTAAATTGATATCCTTGTGACTGTTTATTGTACTTCTATCCAAATAAATAAAAATACTCTGTGTTCCATTAAAAAAAATAGATTTTCTATTAAATCTGAAGAAAATCAGATGGACTGTGTCTATTTACTCCTAGATGTCAATCAGATAATTCGTGAAATTCTTATAAAATTTATGCATCCTGTAAATTTGGAATCAGTAGAAAAAATACTAATGTCTCGTTACACAATTTGACCACTAAAACTAAATGTTATTATTAAGAAAAACAATATTATTCCGTTCTGTGTTCACCTCTCATAATCCCGCTAAAATTAAGTGATTAAGAAAAAACCTGCAAAGGAAGGCAGACACATAACGGTGCGATATGTAACGAATTCGCTTTACCTACCTACCACCATCAATTTAATCAGGCCTTGTAAAACTTCTCAAGCAACAGAGTAATTAGTTACATCGGCAAGGGAGAGTGCCAGTCGTAAACACGTGCATGAAAGTTACGCAAAAACGAAATTATAAGAAGCTGTGAAGATAAAAGTAAATAGGAATATTTGAAATGTGAAAAATTGAAAGGTACAGAGTATTTCGTGACGAACGGTACATGCTGTAATGGTAGAGAGAGACGGCCTAAGCGATAACGTCATTATTTAAAAAAAAATTGGAGCGATTATGATTTTTTTTAAACTAATATAGAATTTCAAAATACGAAAATTTGTAACCATTACTTTTATTGGAAAATAATGACATTCCTATACATTCTATTTAACAAGTCATTTACAAATTAATTTTTTTTTTAATTGTAGGTAGATTAGACGAAGAGGAAATCAGGGTGCTTCAGCGTGGGGACTATTTTGGAGAACAAGCGCTGTTGAAAGAAGATTGCAGAACTGCATCAGTGATCGCCCTACACCCAGGAGTGGAATGCCTGACCCTGGACAGGGATTCGTTCAATCAACTAATAGGAGACTTGAGCGAAATCAAAGAGAAAGATTACGGAGACGAGGAGAGGTTGAACAAACCGTCGGGCACGGCTCTGATAGAACAGATAGGTAAGTATTGATCCAACCGTTTTGAATTACCTCTGACAAAATATTTGATTTTAGAGTATGACTATATCAAGCTAGATGACCTAGAAGTGGTAGCCACACTGGGTATAGGAGGATTCGGTAGGGTAGAACTGGTCCAATACATGCACGATCCTTCCCTAACGTTTGCCTTAAAATGCCTGAAGAAGCAACACATTGTCGATACTCAACAGCAGGATCACATCTACAGCGAACGAAATATAATGATGAGCTGTAAAAGCCCATTCATTTGCAGGTAAGGAAATTGTAGATAATTTCCAAGGTATGCAACTGGCATAACACTGGTTGTGTAATGTTGGTTGCATATCTAAGTGAATTTATGAAAATTCTAAAGAAATCAATAACCATTTCTTATGTTTCTAGACTTTACAGAACATTCCGAGACACAAAATACGTATACATGATGTTAGAAGCTTGCCTAGGAGGAGAAGTATGGACCATTTTGCGAGACAGGGGGTGTTTCGACGACCACACCACTAGATTCATCGCGAGTTGCGTTATCGAAGCTTTCGATTACCTGCACACAAGAGGTATCATCTACAGAGACCTGAAACCGGAGAATCTACTCCTCGACTCCAGGGGTTACGTCAAATTGGTGGACTTTGGATTTTCTAAAAGACTGGGCTATAGCAGTAAGACCTGGACGTTCTGCGGGACACCAGAGTACGTGGCACCGGAGACTATTTTGAACAAAGGTCACGACAGGTCTGTGGACTACTGGGCGTTAGGAATTTTGATGCACGAATTGCTGACGGGAAAGTAAGATAGTTTTACATATATTTTTTAGTACAATGTTCTATTTTCTTTTTCTTTCAGTCCACCTTTTACGGCGTCTGACCCCATGAAGACCTACAACCTCATTTTGAAGGGCATCGATATGATCGATTTCGCAAAACATAATATTGGAAGATCTGCTCAGAGTTTAATAAAAAAATTGTGCAGAGATGCGCCTTCAGAAAGACTGGGATATCAGCGAGGGGGGATTCAAGACATTAAAAAACACAAGTAAGAGCATTTCGCAGTTAATTTGGAACTTCTATGATAATTGAGATCCTCCATATGCGATACATTAATCTCCATACATTTGTTCAGTTTCAATTTTCCTTATATGTTCGAAGTTAATGTTAGACTTGACATATTTCTTTCCAGGTGGTTCCAGGGCTTCGACTGGGACGGCCTCATTAACAGGACCCTACCAGCGCCCATTCAACAGCCCGTCAGAGGTCCTTGCGACACCTCGAACTTCGACTGTTTCGGGAAAGATAACGACATTCCGCCAGACGAGCTATCCAACTGGGACATCAATTTCTGATCCAGCCCCTTCCTTGAATCTTCTTTCTAGTCCGCGCGAAACGATTGATAAATCTTTACAGGGTAGTTGTATAATTGTTACATTCAAGCCATATTGTGAGACCGTGCGAAAATATTTTAATATCGCCTAACGTCTAAGACAATAATATTATATTTATCTATATATGAGATCTGTAATAAACGAGTTTATCTTTTATTAAACCATTGTACTAACTTTTTTCAGTTATCCCAACTATCTCCTTTATGAGATCGAAATAAAGTATTTGTATAAACTGTAAACAGTATAGGCCCTAGATCAGTTCCTTGGGGAACTTCACTATTCACGATTCTCTCATAACTGACCTGTATTACTTTTTTTGTGTGCGTGACCATGTTGGAGATGTTTTACGTCGATAAATTGGTGAAATAATTGAAATCTCCTCATGGGTTTTCATAAGCTGAGTGATGCACTAAAAACGACGTCTGTTGTTCCCTTCAAAATCGAATAAAATGACATTTGTGACAGGTTAATGTCAGTAGTGTCACAGCCATGCCTTAGGTACGTGCCATGTGCACCTTAGAGCTGAAATATGTGCCATTACCAACCAGAGGACGACTGGTAGGTTCTGATATCAACAGTATGAAGGTTAGTGAAACTAGCAAGCAATATTTTCTATTCAGGTATAGATATTTTACATTAGATAGAACAAAACTGTATAAAATTAGACTCCTAAACTTAGAAATATTTTTATGACTTGTACAAAAATTTTGTTTTATTAAATTGTGTGAAATATTTCTAATTGGCAAGTTTCTTTTGTACAAACTTGCCTCATTATTACGCAAAGCGATAAGGGGTTTAGATAAATGAGGCCTCGTTATAACAAATGGGTGCGTGAATGTCTTTCAGCGATTATTATTAAATAGTCCAATTAACTAAGCCTTTAAATCGAAATTTTGCTAACTTGGCTGAATTTTTGATATTTCGATTTAAAGGCTTAGTTAATTGGACTATAAAATGGAATAAAATTAAAGCAACAACACAAGAAACTCACATATGCGTTTAGTTATCGAAGTAGTAAATATAACTGCTATATAAAATAATACATTATTTTGCAAATATTTAAAAAATCGATCTTATATAACAAAATTTGTTTTTCAAATTTTACTTACCTCTTAACTAAATTAGAAGTCTTTTAGAAATCAGCAAAATGATAATTAGTACGGATCTATTAACTTTTAACAAGGAAAATGATATACTTCTCAATAAATCATATTCTCCAAATTAACAAAAACTAAGTTTTTCGGACGGTAAAAGGACTCGATTTTTTTTATAAGATATTTTTTTAAATGCTGTGTTGAATTGTTTTTAACCTACAACTTCGTGATGCATATTTTTTTTCAAATTGCAGCGTTTGCTTGACAGTATCTTAAAAAGTGTTCTTATTCCGTTAAATGGTTCGTAAGTATATCAGGGAACATATTTATACTAACCATTAAAACTTTTATTATTGCCATACGATATTGATGTCTATTCTCCAGTCAAATTTACTGAAATTAAATAATCACACACCTTCGTGTTTTTATGGTGTTGATTGTGTCTTGTGAGAGCATGACGTCAGAAGCAATTGAGCCAGATGTGAACATTTTGCTAGAACGGTGGGAAACATTTCAAGAACTCACGGATACATTTGTAGGTAAGTAATTTAAACAGTTTATGATAGCGAATTGTTGGTACCTATAGGTAGGTATGTAGTTTTTTATCACGATTGTTTACGATTGTTTATGAAAAACATACCTGTAATATCTTTATTTCTGACTATCGTGGTGTTGTCCACACAGAATTCCTTCCGGATGGAGAAACACTCAAGAATATTGTCTGGGTGTTATGAGGTGTTTGATCCGCCGCAAAAAAAAAAAACAGATTTATGGAAGGACAATTCTTGAATTTTGCCCCACGATAATGCATCATCACATAAAGCGATATTTGTGAATGAATTTTTGACCAAAACTCAACGAACGTCATCCAGCAGCCACCGTATTCACCGGATATGGCCCATGCTGACTTTTCCTCTTTGCAAACTCAAATTACCACTTCGTGGCACACCTTTCGAGTCGATATAACAAATATCGCTGAAGGAGTTGAAGTCCATACCGAAATATTCGTTGGAAAAAATGTAGTGCCTCAAATGGAGCCCATTTTGAATGAGATAAAATAAATTTTGATGAGTATTTGAATATATTGTGACAAAATATAGTTCACGGTTAGGCTTACTTTACTAATTTTTTCCTCATTACATGGCGTTTATGCATTTTAATGTTTTGTTCTGTAACATATTTCCATTCGATTTGTAAAAAATGGGGTTTAAGAAACATTACCCCTGCGTATTAGAAAAAAACAAAAGATACAGATGCGTTTGCGAATAACGTATTTGTACGTTTACTTGCAAAATAATGTAGACCTGGACTAAGGTTTAGTAAGGCCTAATTTTCTTGCAATCTACCACCTGTTCAGGACGCAAGCGCGCCTCGCTACCGGCGCCTCCTCCAGCGGTGCTGTCACCAGGTGGTGTTCAGCGCACCTGACCAGAAGTGGGCCCACCAGTGCGCCGCGGTATCTTGCTTAAAATCCACGCGGAGACCACTACGTCGACCGAGGCCAGGTGAACAATTTGCGCTACTTTTACCCGTAGTTTAGTCACCCCTGGAACCGCCACAATGACACAGTAAATACAACAATTATTTATTATGTGTAAATAATGCACCTTTTATGTATAATCCACTGCAAATATAGATTTAAGTTTCTAATTTCTTTAACGTACTTTTTTCTTGCGGTTAAAAAGTTCTTCGAACTGGTTTGATAATAAAAATGAGGTGATAAAGACAGGGGTAAGTCCACTAGTGAAGTAGCAATGACGCCTTTATCGCATTTTGAACGCAAGTTAATTTATATGACTGCAAACGGGAAAGAAAGTGACCGATTCTTTGACCTGATGAAATTTCCTTTATTGACAAAGCCGTAACAATTCTTTCATCACGCGGTTACTTCTTTGGATAGGCAGTACTCGTGATTATCAGCCAATCCTTGAAAAGTAAAACGGCGTAGTATACAGTGTGTCCGTTCTTTAAGCAGTTTAAACGATTGAAACAAGTCGTATCTTTTCGTTCATAAATTATAAAAATAAATCAAAATGATGGCAGGTAGATTCTATGGCGTTTCTATAATGCCTAATTCTGAATGACAAATCAGATTTTGTTCAACTTTATTTACCTTTAACTGAACAATTTATATCGGTAAGATAGTAATCAATATTTACTTAAGTGTTACGAAATTTGTCTTTTTTTATGAAACTCGTAACAGTTACTCCATCACAATCTTTAAGCATTAATTACCGACCAAACCTTAACCACAAAGATGAAAAAGTACTATTACTTTAGACAGACATAAATTTGAAGCATTGTATTATCTTAAGAAATATCTGAATTTTTGGGTTCTGATCATCTTTAATAAAACTAGCAGGTTATTAAGCGAAAATCATTGAATTTCATTAATTGAATTTACAAAGTGTCAGAATTAAACAGAAATATATCTGATTTTCTCAAATCTCTCTGAAAATGTTTGGCGTAAATAGACTAAACTTGGTTCGACGGTTTATCTGATTATCTAAAAATTCATTTAGTTCAAAAACAAGTCAAAACCAGATTTGGCCTTCAAATAGCCTTGAACATGGGCTAACTTCGTCAAACTGACATCGGATACGGATTCAGACCCCAGAAACGTATGGGAAAGACACATTAAACCTTTTTCTTCGTCGTGATGCTGTGTTAACAAAACATTGACAATAACTTATTCATTTTTTAATCTGAGTTGTATTTACATTATTCAGAGTAGTGCAAATCCCTTTTTGAAATGCATTTTAAACGTTTTCTCATGGCATAGAAAATTTGTTTACCAATGAAGCGGAAAATATAGGACGATTTAATTTATTAAGGTCACAAACATATTTAATATAACATTGAGAAATGATTACTTTTTAGTAAATCTTCAGAACCTCATTTGACAGCGTACGTACGAAAAATTTACTAATTCATTTTATTAGCAGGTTCCATAATGCTGTTTTAAGACATATGAAAAGTTTGTAGGTACGACTTCTTCAAACTTGTAAATTCACCTTAAATTGACATGTGACAGCTACAATTTTGTAATGACGTTCGTTACTGCAATTTTCCGTGTAATTTCACAATAATAATATATTGTTTTCAATATAAAAATTTAAATTATACGTTTCTGTGAGCTTTCTCCCAGCTGTGACATTTACATGTTCTCGAACCAAGAACGAAATATTTCTCAAATCGATCCGTGTTAATTATCAGGCAACTCTACCAATCGATACTGAGGTCTTTCCCATCGCCAAATAGTTCCCACTAGTCTGCAAGGTATCCGGTTTTTTTGGTGTAGATGTTTAGGCCTGATACACACTATAGAGCAGCTCAAACTCCGCTCTTATTTCCTTCTACTCTATAAAAGGCAACAGGATTATACAGGATCATAGGCGAAGTTTTTTTTTAAAGAAACAAAGTGGTATTAATAGACCAGGGAGGATCTGTTTTGAGGTGGATGTGAGAGGGGGCAAGCAAATTTTTTCTGGATTACCTGAAGTACAACTCGCATAATAAAAGTGTAGATCCTTAGATCTAAACGAGGCCCGGAACATTTTCAAAAATTTTTTAAAAATTAAAAATATACCTATTTTATCTAAGTTTTTTACTTATATATTGGAAACTGCATTTTGGAAGATTATTGAAGAGGAAAAAAGTTTTAAAATTGAATTTTGCAGAATATACTGTAAATTAAAAGTGTTTAAATTTATTACCGATATTCCAAATAGCAATAATTGATGAAAAAAAGGCAAAATAATATGTAATCTTTTTGGATAATTTTTTTAAAAATATTTTAATTACTCCGAGGGCATTCTAATTTTGGTAAAAAAAACTTTAGAGAAACTTAGAGAAACAGCACATCAAATTTCATTAAAATCGATTCGATAGTTTTCACAAAATAATTTTTTGAAAGAAATTTGATAAAAAATTTTCGAATTTTCAAAATGTTGCACAGCCTCAAATAAAGCATCTCGATACTTGAAAATTTTTTCACATAGAAAAGATCGCTCAACCTTTCAAATGGTTGAAAAATTGGAATCGGTTGATTAGGACGGCCA